ACAACCTTATAGGTACATTGCATATGTAACTTAATGTGAGGCTATCAGTAACGAGTTATTACCTAGTATCGTTTTTTATTTAACTGGTTAGTCTAATGTAGTGGTAATACGACTGCAGTTCAAAAGGCTTAACTGCGACCTGAGTTAGACCAAAAGAATGGGGGGTGTTCTGCTAAAAAATTTTTAGATGTCCTCGTTTAGGAAATTGTTTTAGACAGCACATTAAACCTCATGTCGTGTTCAATTTCCATCCTATTCCACAGTTAATAATGGAATCTAAACAGAGAGAGAGAGAGAGAGAGAGAGAGATCTGCGTTTGTACTTTACAGCATCTTCCGCTAATTCCGACACGTGCAAAGATATTATTCTATGTAATTTTGTGTTACTTTATTTTGGATTTGTATTAAAAATATGTAAGAAAGTTAATTTCTAATTTTAAGAATACTTATGGTATTATACGATATCGATACTAGCAGGTGTATATTTGTCAGGTCACAGCGTTCCTCCGCCGCCATCGAAGTCGGTCAGAGCGGTCAGCGCTACAGGAAATGGAATCACGATCCTCAAGTTTTTGGAGATACTACATTATTACAAAACGTGTTAGTTATACTAGATACAAATATTTAATAAATCATTACGGTCTCGTTATGCTAGTAAGTGAAGTTTAAAAATATAACATACAGGTAGATTTTGGCAAATTTTATTACTACCAGTAGCTTGTGTATTACTCTAAGTCAAAATCTGTCTGTGTATTATTAGTGTATTTTATCCAAATGCACTCAGCCATTTCAGCGTGAAGGTGGAGTGAACATACATACACCCACTTTCGAATTTACCTATTACGCTATATATGTATTATATTCTCCTATTTAACGCAGCATCTATGCCAAAGTGTGACACTTTTTTCTTGATCTCATTTGATATTATTAGATTGATAGAAAGTACTAAAGAATATACCTAAGTGAAGCGAAGCACATCACTAGTTCAATAAAACTAAAGAATATGATAATACGGTAAACGTCGAAGACATTAGTAAGCACCATGAATATAATAAGAAATTTCTTAAAGCAAATATATACGCCTTGTAACTACGGCCATTTCACTTCGGCGAGAGAGAAAATGCTATATTGCAATGCACTTTTGTTTTCAATGTTTAGGGGTGTCTATTGAATGAAATATATTTATTTGCAAAATTTTCTTAGTAATATATTATACTTTCACATTGTATTCCTTGTGCATAACGACTTACCTCTCTCCGTTACTTTGTGATTTTTGTAGAAAAACATGGTTTTATACATGTATTATTTTGTTCAGTCGTTCAAATCGTTCAAAAATTCAAATGAAAAATATTTTATTTAGCATTAATTTATTACATTTTTAAGTCATGAATCTACCACCATTTCGGAAAAAGAGTCCTCAGTCCTTGAAAAAACAAGCGAAAGAAACTCAACGGGACTAATATTAATGAAAAAAAGCACTTATGAGGACTGCCGACTGAAGTGAAACTTAAAACTAAAAACGAACAGTTGTTATTTTTGGATATTCAAATTAATTGTTTGATCTTAAATTAAAATTTGTAAATTAAAACTGCTTACATTTATCTGGTTTTGACATCTATCGGCACTCTGAGTGTTAGCGTTAACACGTCATGTGACCATGTCGATGACGACTTACATGAATTTACTCCTTAAGCCTGCCTATAGACGTTTTCACTTCAAAAAAATCGTACTGTCAAGTGTGTGAAAGTATTGTTGTATTTGAATCATTAACGTAAGTAACGAGAAATAACGTCCTATTCCAAAATACGACAGAAAATTCATACTTATTATTATAATAACAATAACCTATAATATATATAAAACGAAAAATATAAAGTATTTTTTAATATGGAATCTAGCAACGTATAGATAGATATACATATGTAAATCACTTTGCTCTACACTCTATCGCATTGACCAAATTACTCCACGTTGATCCAATATCGTACTAAAACAAAAATTATTATGAATCAAGCTCTTCATATAGCCGCATAAAATTATTATATTCATTGCCATTTTTTTCATTTCATCGATATTTATTCATACATTAACAAGGCGACCATGTGTTACTTAGGCGTGCCTATTTACCTTATTAGATACCACAACATAAAAAATGCATACTATGTGTATGTAGGTATACACGTATGATTAATGAACAATATTATTAAAAATTTAACGCTATGTTATTTACCATAAACATCTACCTTTATTATCGTCATTTTTTATAATTAAATACTTCGTTGTCCATTAAATATTTCTACTCTCATCGTTCTTAAATATTTCGTCTATGTCTTTAATTTAATTTGATAGTAATTTGATATAAAGCATACTGTTACATTAAAGATCGTCGCCCATTTGTTATTATTAATACTAACTTTATTATAATAACTTACTAGCGGCTTGCCGTCGCTTCGCTCGGGTTCGCCTCTAAAAAAACGAAAACAAACCTACCCCACGGAAACCGTACATTTTTCCGGGATAAAAAGTAGCCTAGCCTATGTGTTCTTCCCGACTATAATCTATCTCTATGCCAAATTTCATCTAGATCCATTCAGCCGTTCTGGCGTGAAAGAGTAACAAACACCCACAAACGCACATATATAATATTAGTATAGATTAAACAGCGTGTAGCAAGTTCTAGGCTAATGAAGAATTCATATTGCTATATATGTATATTTCAAATAAAATGTTTAAGTGGCAGCCCTATAGCGTGAAGTCCGGGTACACATTTTCACCTCTCATTCAGATGTCCATACACGTTAATAACACTCATCACTAACTGTCAGTACTGCTTGCTAGAATTTGATTTGTTTTCTAGTATATATTTCGCTCGGGAACACTTATATAAAATAATTTCTAAATTATAATTACTGGAACTATTGATTTTAAAGCGATTTTAATGTACGTAACTAATTAGTACATGCAATGTACCTACTAAATTAAATTAAGTGTAATCACGGCTAATTAAAACGTTAGATTGACCTATTTATTAATTTTTAATTATTAATTTTATCGTCATTATTTGGACATTTTTAAAATTTTATTTTTTTTGTAATTTATATGAATAACAAAAAAATTGCTGTACAATATGTATGATACTTGTAAATATTTGTTTATGCGCAATGCACTTGCGCGGGCGCAGCGACCTTGACACTAACGCATTGGTAGTTAGGTCACACGTTGCGTGGGTTTCCATTGAATAACGATGTGACATACATATATTTATATGCACATTTTTTGTATTTTTATTATTAAAAACAACGTGCAGTAATTAATTGATACTTTATTGAATATATACGATACCTACATATATAACTATGTTATTATTTATGATAATAATAATAGATCTTCGCTATATATATAAAAAAATATAATTGTTTCTTAATACATTTATTCTATAGAGAAAGTGTTCTCAGCTAAATTATAAGACAAAATAATAAAATAATTTTACTTCTAAAGTGATTTTGAGTGTAATATTTTTAGCATGCTCATCATATTTAAATACATATTCCATTAACATTGTGCAATAAAACTGAAATTAGGATGTATCTAAAGCTGAAGCAAAAGAAGCAGTTTTTTACATTATTGTCTATTTGTGTAAATAACGCTCAATAATTGAACTTCTTGAATAAGACTTTTTGAATAATTAGTACAATACAGATAACAGATTGATAAATAATCTATTGTACACACAAAGGAAGAGTACAGAAGAAAAAAAGGTAAAAAAAATAACAAAAAGGCATATCAAAGTAGTCTAAATATGCTCGTATTAAAAACATACATACATAATATGTATATATATTTTGTAGACTAAATAAGAATAACTACTTACATAAACAAAGTCTATCCACATGCAGTAACTAGTGTTAAATAATTTAGTAATTTCCACCTGTTGTAGTAGTTAACGTCATGTGGGGCCCTAAGCCAGTTATTTTAATTTTAATAACCTTTTGATTTATGAGAGGGCAAGCGTAAAGCTACAGCTAATGAGAGAAAGACGGTTTAATGTATTAGAAACTCGTGTAGGTACTACGATGAGGTAATTTAAGAAGTCATAGCTTTGTTTGTGTTTAATACAACAAAGGTAAAAGATTTTTTTCTTTTATTAACAAAAACAAAATGGCCAATATTTTAAAAATACTTACACATTTCCCTAAGCAATAAAATTAATATAATAGATATATCTTTCTACCTTATTTTTTTATTAACAAGTACATATTACATGCACTTAAATTCCATAAAATTCCTATCAATATTTATTTTTAAAAACGTCAATAAACCCAATATAATTTGTTAAACTATAATTTTATAGTCGGGCTTACTTTAACATAACTTAGACACGCCTTAAAAAAGAAAGTTAGATTTTAATTAATTGGTGTGATTCCTAAGATTATGATTTATTGGTATCAGAGGGATAGAACTTGGAAGCGCTTTCACAAGTTACAAAGATTTACAACATTATAAATTATAGTAATATATATTTGAAAAATCTAATTTCACATATTAAGCATTTGTCCGTATATACCTTAAACTTACATAAGATGTATTTAAATAAAATGAAAAATAGAATGAAACCTCGTTGACGTAAATTAATAATGACAGTTGACATCGTGTTTTGGCAGAAAAATTAATCCGATTTGGTGCTAAATGGTTCAATTCAATTCAATTTTCTTGTTATTCGCTTAATAGCGTGCCAGTTAAGCAAAGATTACTTAAGAGATAAAACGATTTGAAATAATTAAAGTCGTCTTCTATTAAAGTTATTGTGACATCTGAAAGTAGCACTCGACGATAGTGTAGCTCTATATTAATAACGAAATTTGATTGGGAACTGTAGTTTCAGAGATTATCTCCTACATCCAAACTTACAAATTTTACATTTTTATAATATTAATGTAGATGAAGATATGTTATATATCTTATTTTTCTTTATAAATTTCCAGATGAAGTAGCGTCAGTAGCATGGGGCAGGCGGGCAGCCAGCCGAGCGAGCCGCGCGCCCGCCGCGCGCACACGCTACCACACGAGCCGTTGCGACACGCACCTAAGGTATGTCTGTTGAGTTTAATATGAGAAAACTAAAAACAATACTGAAAAATACCTAAAACACATTCAAAAATTACAAATAATCCTTAATAAAAATCTATATAATAAAAGTGAGTTGTTGTTCTTTGGTAAGCTAACTTAAGAACGGTTGAACCGTTTTCTTTTTTATAAAATATTTAAAGTGTACTTTAGGGAGGAACATCTAAATAGTTCTCTGGAAAATTATAAAAATTAGATAAAATTGAAAATGCTATTTTAATGTAGTGGTTTTAAACTCAAAGATCACAAATGAGTTTATTAAAATTCAGGACAATATCTGTCGGGTCAGCTGGTACCTAATTTTATAAATGCGAAGGCGTGTTTGTTCTTTTTTACGAGTTAAGAATAAGCGAATAAGATATACGGAGTGTTTAGAATAGCTAATGAAGTCGACGAAACTTTATGTCAGAAAGAAAACATTTCAATTAATTGTTTTTGATAAATTATTATTTATAAATTTCTTTTTTATATTTATATAATAAGCTAATATATTATTTACAATGTTGCTCACATTACTATTTTTTTTATATAATGATATAATACAATAACTGTCAACTTAACAAATAATAACTAGAAATAACTATAAAAATAAATAAATTAATAATCTATTACTTAGTTTATTTTTCTAGTTATTACATTATTATATTTTATTATATTAGAAAAATAAATTAATTAATAGGTTATTAATTTATTTATTTTTATAGTTATTACATATGTTATCTACAGGATTCAAAATAGCTATTTATAATACCATTTCAAGATTGAATCACTACTTCTCCATACTCTGTCTATCTTATTCTTTTAGTATTCGTTGCTAAGTTCTAAGACGATTTGTAGGCCAGAGAGTGATTTTTTTACAAATAACGTGTTTTATATTGGGCTCCAGGTACTGCCTTCTCTAACGGAGTCGCCACGACTACGGAGTACTGATAATGGCGCTATCTTACAATCGGGTGGCACTATCAGTGGGAGACGACCGCCCGCACTTCAAGAGAGCAGAGTGCCTCATGGGCATGTGGTAAGATATTATAATTATCCACTGAGATTCTTTAAGGATAATACTTAAAGTCTCATCCGCTTTATATAGAGGGCTATTTGTCAACATTAACCTAAATTGTTATTAATAACCACGAATAAACTTTTTTTAAATCAATGCCGGACAATCTTTGGGCCAAACAAAATTTTCTAACTACTGAAAAACATTTCGACACATTGACGACACGTTTCGCGCAGTTTGTAGTGACCCTACTTGCAGTGCCAGCGGTCGCGGGTTTGAGTCCCGCTGGGCGCATTCATTTGTGTGATGAGCACGAATGTTTGTACTCCAGTCATGGGTGTTTATATTTATAATATGTATGTATTTAAAAGCTATAAATGTGTAGTGTATCAACTATCTGGTATCCATAACACAAGCCTCGTAGCTTACTATGGAACTAGATGGCGCTGTGTGTTAATGTCCCAACATATTTATTTATTTCGTACCAAATTTTCAAAAACAAGATACAATTCCTTTCGACAACACATTTGGCTCAGTTTGTACTTGTTGTGTCAGTGATCGCGGGTTTGAGTCCCGCTGGCAGCATTCATTTGCGTGATGAGCACGAATGTTTGTACTCCAGTCATGGCTGTTTATATTTATAATATGTATGTATTTAAAGTTATATATGTGTAGTGTATCAATTATCTGGTGTTCATACACAAGCCTCGTAGCTTACTATAAAACTAGATGGTGCTATGTTTTTATGTCCCAACATAGTCTTACTTTTTTTTAATGATACCCCACGGCCCACTGTACGGAAAACGTCTTCATTTCGTCTCTCTTCTTTCTCGCCATCTCTGTTATTCAAAAACATAGGGAGCAACAAAACAATATAATATAAATAATATAAATAACAAAACAATATAATAATTTTCATTTCTAACAATAACTAAGCACATTTCTAATGTTAACAGTGAAAATAAAACCAACAATAATAAACACTTTATAACTTGCGACGCTAAGACAATACAATCGTTAACCTCTCACTGCCAAGTCCTTTCCGCTGTGAAAACCTTTTAAGAGATCCATTTAAGCATGTCTGTATTGATGTTAAGTACAATAAAATCGCTACTACAGTATTTTAAAACTTTTACTGTGTGTCTGTTCGTTGAAAATAAAATCTGCAACTCATTAATTTTTCGTATTTTTTATATTATATACTAAATGCTTTACGAATATTTATATATGGGTAATATAAGCGTAATTAAGCGATTAATTATTATCTATGTAAAGAATTTAAATATTGTAAATGAAATATTACTTCTACTTACTATTGATTCTATACTATTTTGATTTTAAGCTCAAAAGTTTGATCTTATTGCATGCAGCACCATTTATGCGTGGTCTCAGTGATAATTTGTCTAAACGACCGATTTACCGAAACAGTTTATATACAGAATTATTGACTTTTGAACATTAATTCTATTTGTATAAAACATTTTACTTTAAAGAAGCCGAAGAGATGTATTTAATCTATACATGTATAAATCTTAAAAATAAAGCTTTGTTTTTAAAATAGAGGAAAACCTTTCTACTGTAAAGTATAACAAGTATTGGTAGTTTGATGAAATAATAATTAAGGCGTATTGTTCAAAATTTAACAATTATGACGCTGTGTATTAAAAACGCAGAACAATGTCACTCAATAGCGCGCGGAGTATCTCGACGACGAAGGTGGTGGGTTCAAGTCCCACTTGAAGCATGTTACATACTGGCTATCACAGACGGCTGTATTGTGTTAACACACACAATGCTTAGGATTATTTGTATAAAAGTATTAACGTACTTTGAAATGATAACTTTTAACTAATTATATACATACTTTCTATTACACAACAATGTGTACGCCATCTTCATATGCAAATAGATTTGATTATCGACTTTGCACAAGAAATAAATACATACTCGTATGTCTCACGGAAATCAATTATATTTTAATTACCGTAACACGTTACTAAGTTGCCTTTCTCATTCATCATCATATATTCACCCTTTATTGACAACAATGTTTGAAGCTTATTTTGGTTCCAATTCATCAAAGGAATTATCAGTAAATTAGGTGCCTAATCTCATCCTATTTCTCATTTTTGGCTAACATATCTTAATATATGAACTGCGAAGCTACTTATCCGATCTTAACGTTTTTTTTTAAAATCTGGGATTTATTCTAACTTAAAATATAGGATAGTTTTTATCCTGATTATTTCCTTTATTATTGTAAAATTAACGATTTTCATATATGTGATGCAGCAACCGTGGCCGGGTCTGCTAATATAAATATATTTTAATGGAAAATGAATCGAAAGACGAAGTTATGTTTAAACATTACACACGTCTTCGTATAAGAAGGCTGACTGCATAAATGTTTTCTAAACAAAGCGCTCATATTGAGGACTGCACTTTGTAGAAGTGGCTTCCGTCTTAGTTTGTTAATTAGGTGTATCAAAACATGTACAGGGCATTCATATTTTCAATTATTATATATATATATATATTTTAGATTTACGATTTGTATATTACTTTTATATAACTAAAGAAATAATTATACATATATTTTATATTATAAAATACTAGCAAGACCCAGGGCTTCGCCCGCGTTGAATCTACAAAAAAAACTCTTTTGCTTTATGTTATATAGCAACTCACCCTCGATTCACTCGGGTTTGTCCCAATGTATTTATATAATATTACATTATTTGTATATAGTTCATACAAAAATACTAAAATCGCGATTAAAAAATGGGGGGTTGGGGGTAGGAGGTAGAATATACTTTACAACCTATTCTCATACCTACTAAATATACAAAAAAAACATTAAAATTGGTCGATCCGTTTCGGATGAGTGCGACCACAAACACCGTGACACGAAATATTTATATATTAGATTAAATTTCTAAGTATTTAACGCGGAACTATTCCTTTTACAGCACTCAAACGTATATAGATCGAGATCAGCTGGAGGTACTGGAGAAAATGAGATTAGAACCAGAGAACGTGATCCATTGCATAGATCACACACAAATTTGGAGTTTAGGCATAATGATTGTAAGTTTTACATACACTTTCAATATTAAAAATATTAAAATAAACCACATAATAATATATAAAAGTAATTTTAAATTTATTTTCAGCAAATAATGTCAATAAAAGATTTGGGTCTGAGCCAGATCTAAGAATTGAAGAAGAACAACAAAAGTCAAAAAATAATAACAATAAACACTTTCGTAAAAAATACAGAGCACCCCCACCACCAAGTAATGATGTAAGTATTAAAAAAATATATAACGATAATAATAATAGAGGGCGTATGCGGTTAGATACTTGCGTGCGTGTGTGTGTATTTTTTTTGATTTGGATGAAATTCAGTCCATAGATAGGCTATAACCAAATTATATTAACTATAATGGTATTTTAACTGCCTTGGTGGTCTAGTGCTTAGTATGTACACTTACAGATCGGGGGAACCTGGATTTGAGTCCCGGCTCGGGCCAAGTTAAGTTATTGAGTCTTTCTGTTCAGAAAGTTTTAGTATTAGTAACATCTCAAATTTGGGAAATTGTCGATGTGTCGCTCCTGTGCCTCGGAGACCACGTGAAACCGTTAGTCCTGCGCCTAATCTTCTCTCTTTTCATGTCGAATTGTCATTCAACTGGAGTATGAGAGTAACAGGAATAGAGATTGCACTTGGATCTGAACGTACACTTGTGCACTATAACGTCTCTTGCGCAATTGGCTAGTCCCATTGAGATTGGGCGCCGTGGCCGAAATCGGTCAGAAATCAGAATATTATTTTATACACTATAATTATCATGTTGGACACCTAAGAACGCATTCTAGCGAAGTAAGTGTCACTACTGTATTATATCTTTAAATCACACTGTTCTTAATGTTTTCAGCTACGAGAGGGTTCATCGCCGGATTCCGGTGAAGGGAACGCGAAACTTGAACCTCAACGCAAACTGAGATTATTTAGAACAAGAAACGAAACCAAAAAATTAAATGGTCACATGGATTCTAAAATACCTGTTTACAAAAGCACTTACACCGATTTCAAATCATTAGACTTAAACGACCAATTCGGAAGAAGATACAAGTCCCCTTGTAAAGATAACGACCAAAGCTACAGTTACATGGACAATAATGATATGGTGCAAAGTTCAACGTCTTTGAAAAAAGAAGAACGATTACTTCAAGGAAAACAAGACTACAGAAAAACACGGACAGATAGAATAAGTGGATGTAGAGCAAAAACGTCGAAAACGAATGAGAGTGAAGCGTGGAAAACGCCTTTACTTAACAAAAACTTTAGACATTCTGATAGATTTAAGAATGATCAACCGATATTAAGGAGGGAAAAGACCTTCGATGACACACTTACAATAAGTGAGAGAGAGAATGAATCACCAAGAGCTTTACACGACAAGAAATCTAAAGCTCTCGGTGAGGAGTTAAGCTGCAAGCTAAGCCCGTTAGGTCAAAGAAATCAGCCTTTAAGAAAATCACTTCCTTCGTTACTGCACAAGAGTAACGAAGAAAAAGATGAATTTCAAGAAGAACTTAAAAAGGCGACCAGTAGAATAAGGAAAGAATTAGGCGATAAATTAATTGTAAGCGAAAATACTAGTCAAAACAATAAAACACAAAAACCAAACCCATCGAAGTTGGTGACGCAAAAAGTCAAGGAATCTAGTCTTACAGCGAATAAAGTGGATTCTAAACCGATCTGCACTAGGCGGCCATTAAGTCGACTTAATGAAACTAAGCCTAAAACACAGCTTAATAAAATTAGGAGCGATCAAAATTATAAGAGTGAAAGTAAAGAAAATGTGAAGTCGATGCCGGATAGAGGACAAGCGTCGGGGAAAGAATCAACGCCTGAACACTCACCGACGAGGAGAAAGGGATCCACGAGCAATGTTGTCCCCGAGATGTAAGTATTTCTAAGTGCATATTCACAAAGTAATGTCAAATAATTTACTATCCGCACTAATATTTATAAGTTCGAATCTACACAAACAAATGTATGTAAATTATGTACGGCGACATAAGCAATATACACTGAACGTAAATTATCAAATTAAATACATTTATTTTCAGACAAAGGTCTGCGCCATCAAAGCAGTTCTACTTTGGTATGATTGAAAGTAGAAAATCAGAACCACAGGATAATTTAAAGGACTTCCCCGGGCTCGGTAGTCCCATTATAGAAGAGTTCACTAACTTCCACTTAATAGAGAAGAAACTCCTCGGATACCATGAAGAAGATGAAATGGATAAGTTCAACGAGAAGTTCAAGGAAGATTGTAAAAGAAATCGTAAGTTGACGATATTATAATATTTACCGTAAAACATTAAGTAATGTAAAGGGTTACCGAAGGATGTGTGGCTTAAAGGGCCTAGGCAAAGCTACACAGTTTTGAGTGTAAGGTATGTATTCAAAGTAGACATTTGTTATTTAATGTATAATATCCGTACTTATTAATAATTAATATTATAAATATGAAAGTGTGTTTGTTTGTCCTTCTTTCACATTAAAACAGAGTGACGGATTGGAGAGATTTTTTGTGTGAAGGAAATAAGAGGGCTGGAGAGTGATATAGTCTAGATAGATAGACTTTATACCGCAGCAGGCTATCTCATTCGCACGGGAAAACACAATATAATACAACATAAAGCAACTCATCATACCTTAGTATACATGTAAAACAAGTATACATAGTCTATATATACCATATTAACCGTTAAAACGTACCTAATTTGTTTACCATAATAACCTGTTTTTAATTTCAATTCATCAACACAAAAATTTTATATTCTCGAAAACAATAATAATGATTTGATTAGCAAATTTAGCGAATGTTTCGTTTTCCTAATAAGACGCCATGTTTGACATTCCAGTATCGTCGGAGTCGGCGCTGTCGTCGGAGGGGTCGGAGGGCGGCTCCCCGCGCCTGGCGCTGCGCCTGCGCCCGACGCTGCCCAAAAAGGCCCCGCGCGCCGCGCGCTTCTCGCCTGCCGCCGCCTGGAGGCAGCTCGCCAGCCTCGACGCACAGCTTGCCGGTAATTACTGCTTGTACTTCTATGAACGAACTGAATTTTGAGGAGCTAGTCTGCTCACCACGACGAAGATCCTCATTAGTTTATCACCAAATTTTTATGACACCTAAAGTAATACCTTTCAAATAAAAAAAAACTATCGAAATCGAATTTCATTGGACGGAAATATCCAAAAGCCCCCTTTTTGTCACTTTGTGGACTTGAAACAGAGACGCTTCGCTTGCTCGATCAATTATTGTACTACACCAAAATAATACTAATTTACAATAAAGGAAATAACAAATATACTTAATTATATTATACAAAACAAATATAATTACGAATAGTGGCAAGAATGCTAGCCGCATTCCCCCGTTGGATGGCAATGACGATTCACCAAAATTTATATCAATGAAAAGCACTGGTGAAGAAATTTTAAATTTAAATGGGATTTTCGACAATATCTCTTAAGAAACATTTAAATTGTGATAGGCCGAATTTTTCGAAGTCATAATTGATGTTTATATTTTAGGAATAAAAAAAACTAAGTTTAATTAGAAAATTCTAAATACTATTCAATTTAAAAATATGGAAGTAACAGATGGAAATATGCTGGTAAATAATGTTAATTGCTCGCGGAATTATTAATAAATATACAACGTGAAGTAATTTATCGCCCAACTCTTCTTCATTTTTTTTATATATCATGAATGAATATTATTTATATCATGAAAAAGCTAATGTCGAGATCCAATATATTTTATTACTATTCACTGTAATTTTTGTCAGACTATACAAATTTAATGTTATTTTTTCAATAAAATCATACCTATATCTATATTTTTTAATATTAATAAGGTTGTATTTGTTCCATTTCAGAAACTCAACCACTAGCAGTAGAAACTAAAATGTCAGCGGACTTGCCTTCAGAGTCATCTCCGCGTTCAGATCAGTCTGCTGATAAATCTGGAGATTCAGGAATATCTGGAGATCACGGACACAGCGACCACAGGATAGACTCGCCTAGACATGTATGTATTTGTTATAATATACATATTTTACATAATTATATGTTTTTTTACAAAATAATAATATAATTTATAAGTTGACTTACTGTTTGTAAGTGCAATGTGATAGAAGCCCTACTAGATGTTTAAATTTCATTTCCCATATTTAAAAATTACGAACTACTTACTATACAGACTTTTGTCTCCAATTCAACATCTTAAGGGGAGAAACTCTTTCTCTTTTTTCGAATTTTTTCTTTCTGAATCTTAAGGGGAAAAATTCCTTCCAACAAAATTTCTTCAAGTGTGAAACTCGTGTAATATATGTTATGCTTCAAACCCAGCAACTAATTACATAAAATTTCACTCAAAAATATAACTTTATGTTAAAAATATACAACAAATTAAATAGGTGGCAGAACCAACATGGACTCCCCAACAAGACCTGGGCGACAGCAGCTCGGACGGGACCGCGCGGGAGCCGCGCGCCGGCGCCGCCTACAGCCCCGAGCGCAGCGCCGCCTACAGCCCCACCTACACGCCCGGGGCACAGCCATTCAGCCTCAGTCTGCCCCGCGACGACAAAGTGAGTGCGCTACAATATACAGTACTCGGGATGTTAGGTTTTGAGATGAACATGAAAATTTTATTTTTCTTTTATTACTTTTATTATTTACTCGTGATTATAAGGTGTACATTATGAGGTTTTTAACATTATATAAGTTGTGTAATTCAATGGGTGAGCCCATGAATATATTAATACTAATATTATAAGAGGCACAGTTTGTTTGTTCGAACGCGCTGATCTCAGGAACTACTAATCATATTTAAAAAAATCTTTTGCATTAGATAGCCCGTTTATTGAGGAAGACTATATGCTATATATCATCATGCTACAAGGGAGCGAAACAGTATCATAAATTACAATAAATCGAGCAGACTTCAATACATTATTGTAAAGCTATATAATTATATTATATATACATAGGGACGAACTCAAGCGAAGCGAGGGTGAGTCAAGTATAATTGGATTTAACTGTTGTGTCACATTAAAAATCTTACAAAAAAAAGCTAAAGGAAAGTATAGAGAAAATATCCAAATTAAAAGAGAGAGTATCCAAAATAATTTAAATAACTCAACTTATTACATAATGTAAGCGTATGTACAATGTACATAAAATTATTTCAAATGAATCTACTTTTCACTGAATCAGTAATGTAATAGTTTAAATTATTTACTTATTGTAATATTTTTATCTTCATCTCATTATAATGTAGTGTAGAAGATTTAACTTGTCACATTTCAGTAGAACTCATAGTAACTAACAAACTAACTCTAACCTCCCGGGTACATTTCTGAGGAGGAGTAACGATAAAATTGCACTTTTAACTATTTATTTTTATGTTTTCTACAACTGCACTAACTTTAATCCTACACAGCTTTACTTACTTATATTTTTCATTTGTAAGTTTTTATTTATTTAACACTAAGCCCTTCAGCCTGGGAGTGGTTTATGGTGACATGTTATCTTCAACTAGATATTTGTATTTTAAACAAAACTATCTTTTCGAATTATTTTGCGGATTTACTTAGATTTTTGGTTCCCGACGTTTCGAATGCTTTATAGCAATCATAGTCACGGGTGTGACTAAGGTTTCAGTCGTCTGTTGTTCGTTAAAATGATTACTGTAAAGCATTCGAAACGTCGGGAACCAAAAATCAAAATAAATCCGCGAAATAATCCGAAAAGATAGATTTATTTAAAATGTTAAATATTCGCGTAAATCTAAAAAAGTATTATAGGGGAAGAGCCCGTTAACGTTCACAGGCTCTTAGGCCATTGAATATTTGCAAATAAAAATTGAAAGAAAATTAAAAATATTTTATTAATAAAGTATATCCGCCTTGTTTTCTTATTAATGCATCTTATAGTACAAGAGCTTATTGAATTTTTTCTGTTTCTTTTTGTATCTTTTAGATCAACTACTTACTTATAATGACCATCATATCTTGGTTTCACTAGCTTGATTTCCCTAACCTTGCTTACAATAAAATTATTATTAATATTTATTCTACAATTTTCACCTCTATTTACACTCTCTTTCTAAAAAATGTCTTTTACACTATTTTCAAAATCAACTGCAATACTTAATTTTTTTAGAAAAAGAAAACTATTTTATCCTTATTCCTCATCAGTTCAAATAAAGAACAAATCAAATCCCTCATAGTTTAAAGGAATGTCGTGCTTCTACGAATGTTTCCAGGGAAAGCAATTACAGCAGGGATTCAACAGTCTTCAAAAGCTTAGGAAATCAGTATCGGGTGCTTTAGGTGCAGCTTTGGGCTCTAGGAAGTTCGATTTGGAACATGAACCCATGTTGGAGGAACCTGAACAGAACTGGTTCTTGACTAAATCAGCCCCAAATTCTTTGAGCAACCCCTTATTGTACCACCAGCCATTGAGAACGAAGATTTCTGAGGATATTGGAAAGGAAGAACCCTCTTTAGTTACGGAAAAGGTAATAAAATATAATGTTAATACATTTAATGATAAATATTTAGCATATTTCCTTATAGAATGATGCATGTTTTATTGGGATCTTTAGAACTTAATTTTTAATACTATTGTTCACCCAGTGTATGGAATTGAACAATAATCATTATTTTTATTTTATTGATATTTAAGCTTTTAGTGTAAGCTCGTTAAGAGCTTCTAAACAAAAAAGGAAAAAAATATCTTTGTATTGTCTCTGTAATTTATATAATATGTAAATTATGTTATGAATGTATGGATTCAGCCCCTTTTAACGTCCCACTGCTGGGCACGAGCCTCCCTTCAGTACAAGGATTACCCTTCAGGTCATAGTCCACCACACTGGCCAAGTGCGGGTTGGCGGACTTCACATGTCTTTTGAAAACTTGCTAGGTTCTCTCACACATGCAGGTTAATATGTAATAGGTGTTAATTATGTTGGGAATGATTCGCACATGAAAATTCAGAGGAGCGAGACCCGGGATTTTAACCCGCTTCACTCGGTTTTCCAAGCGAGCGCGTTACCACTTGGCTACTACTGCCTTAAGAATACTAACGCAAAATTTGCTATTTGTCGAATACCGACTAGTTGAGTGTATTAGTCTAGAAACTTAGTGTTGAGTCGGATGGTCAGGGCGCGGAGGACGGCAGCAGGTGGAGCTCGTACGTGAAGTGGGGCGGCCACGCCATGTACCTGCCGCCGGCGCCGGGCCAGTCGCTCTCCATGCTCGGCTCTACGGAACGACCTGTTAGGTGTGTAATAATCTATCATCTATACATATAATAAAATTATAACTGAGTCGAATTGGTACATTGATGTATTTTAGAAAATATTATTAAAATTGTCATTATTATCGATACAGAGGCTGAACCTATAGTTTTGTTATGTTGTTGTTGTTATGGTAGCGACTCATCATCGCTTCGCTCGGGTTCGCCTTTAAAAAAACAAAAACAAAGCTATCCCAGAATCATACATTTTTTCGGAATAAAAAGTATCCTATGTGCTATTCTAGACTCTAATCTATCTGTGCCTTTCATCCAGATCCGTTCAGCCGTTCTGGCGTGATTAAGTAATAAATATGCCAACATCTAAACTCACATATTATAAACGTTTATCTATACATATAATAAAATTGTAACTAAGCCGAATCTGTACATTAAATATTTTTTGGAAAATCTTATTGAAATAGACATTATTACATATATATACAGAGGCCGAATCTATAGTTTTTAGAATTTTTGTCTGTCTGTCTTTCTGTCTGTCTGTCTGTCTGCCTGTCTGTCTGTTACCGCATCACAGAAAAACCACTGGAGGGATTTTGCTGAAAATTGATATCGTGATAGCTGGTTATCCAGGTCAACATATAGGATACTTTTTACCGCGGGAAAATATCTCATTTCAGAGAAAAAATACAAAAACTGCAATGTAAGAGTATATAATATGTAAAACCTAAGAAATTGTTTTTGGTCATCTGAACGCGGGCGAAGCTGCGGGCAGTGTTAGTATTTATAATAAGATGTTCAGAATATCAATATTCGAAAAAATCTAAAAAAGTATTCCATAAAAGAATAATTAAAATAAATTAAACTTGCACCTTGTAAATTAAATGTTACTGACGTGATATTGCATGTTGTATCTATAATTAAAAGAACATTTATGATATTAACATTTTTAAAGTATCTTTTGTTGGCTATCCTTTCATAAATAAATAAATAAAAATGTATTAGAAATGAAGAAGTAACCGTGTTCTCTCAGGAGCAAGTCGAGCGGCTGCCTGGAGGCCTCGGCGCGGGCGGCGCGCGCCGCGCTGGCGGGCGAGATGCGCGAGCGCGAGCGCTCGGCGTCGCCCGGCGCCGCGCGCGCTCTTCCCGCGCGCGTCGTGCCCGCGTCCGGGGTGAGTACGCGAGTATTGTTTAAATTTGATCATTCATATACAAACACTCAATATAAACTCTTACCGTCTAAATGGGGCCTCAAGAAAAAATATTTATAATATGTATATAACTATTTGAAGTTATATATGTGTAATGTATCAACTATCTGGTAGGTATCCATAACACAAGCCTCATTCAGCTTACCATGGATGAACTAGGTGGTGATGTGTGTTAATGTCCCAACTTATTTATTTAGTATTTATTTATTCAATGCACAATAGGCGATTTGACTGGTTTCTAGAAACCTTTTTAAATTATTTACTGTTGCTTATTGAGCCTACAAAAAGTGTTTATTTTTAATACTTATAAATAATTTATCAAAAAATCGCAATTAAAAAAATACAATTCAAATAGGCCCTTGAAACACTTGTTTACGCAACATGAATTCAGTGAAGTCACAAGGAGCTGGTTATAAACAATCAACCGACACAACCCATGTTGAGTTAGCGTTCATTTTTGTTATTAAGCATTAAATCCATTAAAGAAAATGTATAAATGGTGTGTAGTTCCAGGGTGCACAAATACTACTACAAAGGTATCAGAAAAAAATATTATGAAATGGCAATGACAGGCTGTCAATACTCAATGACAGACATGTTATTTGATAATTTGATAGCTTTTGATAATTTGGTAGCTTAAATTTTGATAATTTGATAGCTTGCTAGCCTTTGACGTCATTATACGGTCAGCCAATCCAGATCGTTTTCAATCACGTGATACTTAGTAGAGAAAAATAAATTAAATTTTTAGATGCTTTATTACACATATAATAACATATTTTTTCACCTAATATATAAACCGCATTTAAAACCCATGCTCTATGCGGATGTCAATAAATAAAACAGTATTTTTCACACTGTCAAATAGCCTATTCGAAATTTAACTGCGCTTTAAATTTAATTTCATTTTAATTTAAATAAATGGTTTCGTTTAAAAAAGTACTTTATGTGGTGAGCGTAAGTTCGAATTTGTGTTTAGACAATTAGAACTTTCGATTTTTAAATTTTATTCTTTTGTTTGAAAATGTGTATCTTTGATTTTATATATCTTTGTTTTATATCCTATATTTTATTACTATTCTTCAACAATTATAGAACGCCATCTTTTATGTAGGTACTTAGCTTTTAAGCAAAGCGGCATTTTGAATATTTATTGGAATGAGTAAAGTTAAAAAAATACTTTTACAAATGACTGAATTACAAACAAAAGTATATGTTGCAGTATAGAGTGTGATGATTATAAAATAATTTTAATGTATTACTTTCTTAGATGTACATCTCTTTCTTTGACTTTAAAGATCTTTTTGGATTTTGTAACGATTTTACTATTATGGTTGGTGTAAAAAATTCGAAACGTTGGAAACAATAAATCTAAATGAAACCGCGAGAAATTCTAAAAAGAAAATTTTATCAACAATTTTCATGATTCATTTACTTAGTGTACAAAAATAAATCAATAAATGGAGCTTATTCAATATCGTTAAAGACATTTCGTTTAGTTATTATTTTAAATACCATACTATTATTCGTGTCATTTGCGTATTTTCAATGCCACGTCCCTCGTAACCAATTACGAATAAGTCACACGACATGCTCTATGTTTTGTGATGAAACTGAGAACTAATGTTCTCGTCACGAGAGCTAGATCCGTATCAATTTATCAATGACTTGCGTGCCAATTAATATTAATTATTATTATATAATTCTTAGTTCCAAATCTTGACATCGTCGGCATAATATATACTCCATCTTGGGGTCCAGTTGTAAATCCAGGAACCCCACCCCACTCAACCCAACAGAAACTCAATAAATACATATAAAAATTTCACCAAAATCGGTCCAGCCGTTAAAGAATTCAGTGACATACATAACAATTATTTATATATATATATATATATATATATATATATATATATAAAGAATAAAATTAATAAAAGTTATATATAGACTATAAAGTCATATCTAACGACAAGCTCAGTCGAGACTCAGTCAAGTCAATTTTTAGCTTTTCGCTTATCCAAAGAAATTTTAACTATACCAAGCTCATACTCCTTCATAAGCGCAGCATGCTTGAAAAGGATACAAAGTTTTATCTACACAAATTATTGTATAAAATTAAATTTAAAAATCAAAAGTAAAGTTTGATAGAAATTGAACTTTTATAATCTCATTTCCACATTCATTTTGCAAGTAAAATGTAATATAAAACAACAAAAGATGTGCTAATATGACAACGTATTACAGAATCTTCTTAGTTTTCTCACCTCTCGTTCTCACGGTAGCAACAATTAGCAGCTTCCGGGGTTTTTGTTGAAATTTTCACTTATAAACTTTGGATATATCAACAAGGTAATCAAATTTTGATTGACATTAAGGTTGTTCCGTTTAATGTCCTATCATATTTTATATATTTTACTATATTATCTATTTATTTATTTATAATGGGGTTTAATGGGGACGTACAGCAAACCTATGTCACTCTAAAGGCCTCTGGCTATATCTATACAGAAAACCATATCAATAGATTCAGTTGTGTTTTTATTCTATTTCTGAATTTTATTATAACTTGTTTTTCCGCGGGAATAATATATTATCTTTGTCGCGAAAGATAAAACAAACTAACAATAATTGGTATTATTAGTAACAAAGTAATATTGGTATGCTAACAATTTCACTAAATTCACTCTCACTCACTCTTCATTCTCTACCTATGTTATAAAACTTAATAACTAACTTAACTGTTGAAAACGTGAAAAATATCTGATAAATATGCATAAACTTTCAAAAATCAGAACTAAATAGGTATTACATATACATTATTTGAATACTACGAAAAACTACAAACGTGGGCTCATTTCAGAAGCCAAAAGCAAAAACTCGCAGCAGATAGAGACATATGCCACAAGTTCCATTGTTTCACCTAATTTAAAGAAAAATTTGTAAACCGATGCGATAAAGCATGTGATTTCAAATATACTTAGTATTCAGAACAGGTCATCCATTGTACGCAGATAATTGCATTCTAAATATCACGACTGTGTCATGTTTTGGACATGGTTTGTTTTGTTTACCTGCTACTATAGTCGACGTCAAGGATAGAAGGCTTAGCTAGAACTTTTTGTTTTTTTTTTACGTTGGGAAATGCATTTACCCATAAATGCAAGTAGTTATGTGGAACTCACCGGCAAAGCCAGTACTACCCACTAAAACCCAACCAAACATCTCGTCTTAATGGGATGTCGCAGGATCACTAAACGAACATTAAGAAAGGATCACTAAAGGAAAGAAATACTCGTTGTTTAAGTATTGTAATTTGCAGTTAAGACGAAATGTCTAGCTATTATAAAATCTGTGCTAATAACCAATGCTACGGGTCAACCATAATATATAAGATAAATAAAATTGAACTGTCTGTTTGTAATGTCAAAACAATAAGCTTTTTACTAAATGTAATGTAAAATTATACGTATATAATTTACAATTTTAAAGTACGTAGTACTTATAAGAAAAACACAATCAATTTTTAAAATTTTTGTCTGTCTGTCTGTCTGTTTGTTCCGACTAATATCCGAAACGGTCGGACTGATTTTGAGGAACTTTCACTGGTATATAGCTGATGTTATAAGGAATAACTTGGCTACTTCTATTTAAGAAAAAGAATTGTTCCGCTCAAGAAAAATTAAAACGTACCTAGGGACGTACGTAAGTCGCTAGTTTATATATATATATATATATATATATATATATATATATATATATATATATATATATATAGACTAGCGACTATATAAAACTATATAAAAATGAATCCCTATTTCCCTTGGTCACGCCATCACGCGTGAACGGCTGTACCGTTTTAACTATTTTTTTTTTGTGTTTGTTATTGTCAGGAGAAGGTTCTTATGAAAGAAAAAATTGAAAAATTAACGAAAAAAAATTATAAAGTATATGGCTAACGCTGGCTAATAACTATTTATATCTATTTAAAACGTATCTAGCGACGAACCCGGGCGAAGCGAGTGTGAGCCGCTAGCATAAAACATAAATAAGAAACCCAAATTAAATCATACTAAAAAATAGATACATATAAAGTTGTCATATTACCCAATTGGTGTGTAAGCTTGGTTTAGTTTCGGTCGAATTTCTTAACTCCACACTCGTCTTCCGTGTAATTAAAGTGTACATTCCGACGTAGCATCCGCAATTTTCCTATACGGATATTCTCAGATTTAGTTATTGTTACTTTACAAGTTAGTTGCAACTTATACTCGTAGTTACTTAATATTGTTCATAATTATAAACTTTCTTTATGGTGTTATGTAATCGCAACATATACGGCTAAAAATATACATATTTAGAGCTATATCTACTGAGAGGATTTTGAATCTTTGTTCGTTTAAGCAGAAATTGTAATGAACTCGAAAAAATCTGTAAAATTGCACTTTTCATTACCATAACAATATAAATAGTAGAAGAAAAAAAATTGAAATAATAATAATATATATAATATTATGATTCATCCCAAAATATTATGATTCTACATATTACACGCGCAATATTGGCATTCCAATAGAATTCTTAGGTTTCTATTCTATGGCGATTGTAGAATGAGATTTCGCCTAAGCCGTAGGATAACTTTATCTTACTTTCAGGTAATTACAAAAACAAACTAATACACCGAAGGTTTTTCTATATTTTTTTTGTATTCTACTATAGATATAGATTAAAGGTCATTTTTATTCCACTCAGCATTATGGTATGAACTATAAGATATTTCCTCATGCGATTATTAAAGATTCACGTTTTAGATATACTATTTTCGGTTATTTTGTTAAGCGTTTTATTTCAAGCTTTGTGTTTATTATTTTGAAGCTTTGTTTTTGTTTCATGAATTGGAGACGTCTTCGTTATTATAAAATTGCTCTCATTTATACTAACTTTTAAAGGATAAATCTTACCAAAATTATCGAATTTTCAGAAATATAATATAAAATTTCCATGTCACAATGTTTGTTACCGTACTCCTCCGAAACGGCTTTACCGATTTTAACCAAATTTTATATGCGTATTCAGTAGGTCTGGGAATCGGCTACTATCTATTTTTTATACCCCTAAGTGATAAGGATAAGGGTGGTCCTCCCAGACCCCACCCCAGGGACGAACCCGAGCGGAGCGAGGGTGAGTCGCTAGTATATATATATATATATATATAAATTAGCTAATATCTTTCCTAATCTATTTTTTTATTTTAGTCTCCAACGCTATCCTTGATCTTTGAATCTTAGAAGAGATTATGCATAATTAAGCACTACAATCAATTTTACAATAATGAATTAGTTTCTCATTTCTATCTTTAAAATAATATAGAGATTGTAAGAGATCAGGCGCAGGAGGATGTTTGAGGCATGTAGGCTTTACGTGCTCTGTCTCGCCACGGGGGTAGCACACCGCCAACATCCAAATTCCAGACTGTATCTACCGATTTCTTGACGGAAAACCCCTATAATTATTCTTAACTTGACATGGGACTGAACCCAGAACCTTTGAATCTGTCGCCCTATATGATAGGCAATACCAATTAATATCGCTGATAGAAATATAGTATGGAAAAACCACTTATTGTTATTGTATATGTAATATAATCCTTAAAAAACCTACGAGAATGCGAATAAATGAATAAAAAACGTTATTTGTGTTAATATTATGAAAAGCACTTTCACGGATAAATAAACTATCAAATAGAAGTATAGATAAAACTTCAAATATTTAGTTCCTTGTGTGATAAAATTATTGTATACATATTATTGCTAATTTTCTGTATCGCTTCTTAATATCACTTTTATTTTTAACCAAATCTTACTAAACCCGTTTTTGCTCATGAAAGTTATTGCTTTAATTAAAACAAGTATATAACTAGTTTAAGATGAAGTCAAACTTCTAATTCTAATTTTGGAAGGTTCGGAGGTAACAAGCATAGGTTTCTTGTTTTAAAACCATCATAAGTTTTGGATACAAAAACAAATTAAATAAAAAGGAATTGTGAGGGCTTTTATTGCTTAAACCATACACATAAACACTTTAAAATATAAACAACTTGTTAAATATTGACTGTGAGCAGATTTTAATAGGTTTATATTAAATGTATAAATTATTCTTATAATAGCCACTATGGAAGTCAAAATGCCAATAAAAATAACATGATCTGTCTCTGATGTGATGTCTCTTTTTGGTGGTACTAAACCAAAATACAAAATTCTATACGAATTTATACGTATCTACCATATATTTGACATGAAATCTCGTTATTCTATACATATAATAAAATTGGAACTGAGTCGAATTTGTACATTCAATATTTTTTGGAAAATCTTATTGAAATTGTCATTATTATTGATACAGAGGTCGAATCTATTATAGTTTTTCAAATTATTGTCTGTCTGTCTGTCTGCGCACGAAACACGAGAAAACCACTGAACATATTTTGATGAAATTTGGTACATGATAGGTTATCCGGGTCAACATCTATATTTTTATACTAATACTAGCGACTCACCCTCGCTTCGCTCGGCTTCGTCCCTAGGTACGTTTTATTATATTTTTGAACGGAACCCTAATTCTGTTTCTAAAATAAAAATAGCCTATGTTACTCCCTATAACATCAGCTATCTTCCAGTGACAGTCCATTCAAATCAGTCCAGCTGTTCCAGAGATTATCCGGAACAAACAGACAGACAAAAATTTTAAAAATTGTGCTTTTCTTATAAGTGCCTTATATAATTTCATATGCATTTAGTAAAACGCTGTTATTTTAACATTACAAATAGGCACTTCAATATTGTTTATCTGTATAAGATTTTATAAATGTGAAAGTTTGTGAGTATGTATGGATATTTGTTACTCTTTCGCACCAGAACGGCTGAACGGATTTGGATGAAATTTGGCACAGAGATAGATTATAGTCTGGATAACACATGGACTATTTTTTATCCAGAAAAAAATGTACGGTTCCCGTTGGATAAGGGCTAGTATATAATACTTTTTATTGCGGGAAAATATCTCATCTCTGAGCAATCTATAACAAACATTAAAATGTAAGTAGAGGCGAACCCGAGCGGAGCGAGGCTGAGTCGCTATATAATACATCTTTACGGCACTATCTTTCTAATATTATACATAAATGATAAATGCGAAAATTTATGAGAATGGATGGACGAATGTTTGTTATTATTTCACGCAAAAACTATGGAACGGTTTTTGATGAAACTTTACAGTAATATAGCTTTTACACCAGAGTACCACATAGTCTATATTTTTTTATAGATATAGTAAAATATATAGGTACAGTTGAACTACGCGTTCAGAGCCTCGGGAAGAGGCTAGATTTTAATAATTTCCTTATACTTTACAAAGAAGAAGTCGAAAAATGAGTGTAAGTCAAATTGTATTAAAAACATAACTACAATAGTAAAGTTACGAAACAAATAAACAAACAACGCGCCTCGTGGTCTGCCTCTGCGCATCATTCGGAAACGCGGTAGTCTCTAGCGCGCACCTGTCGCGGCATATTGTATTCTTTTCAAATATAATTTGATTTTATTATATTTATAAATTATTGCTCAGTATATATTCGTGCTCAGCGCAAAGGTATGTAAATAATTTTTTTTTAATAAAAATATTATACATTTTGTTGCAAATTGCAAATTTTTTGCTATAAATATATATATAATTAAATATATAAACTTACAAGACTACTTGTTATCTTAGAATTATTTTTAATATATACCTATAGTTTGCGATTTGTTATTAGTTTGAAGAGCTACTAGTATTTATTTTGCGCGTGCGCATGTTGTTATTATCATGTAGAGTTGATATTTAAAATTACGTTGTTTATTTTATTACTACATGTAATTTACTTTTTTATTCGTGTTAACAATATTATATAATGACATGTTATACAGAATCTTTATGGTATTTTTTTTATATTTACTGTAGGAATACCATTAAAATATAAAAAAGATTTAAAAAAATCATTAGATAGATCTAATTGTTAGATATTTTATATGGTCTTCATTTTAAAGGTATATTTTATTACATTTTTCTTAATTATTAACAAAAAGAAAAATCGTTGTCTAAAGATTACTTTTTTACCAATAATTTACATCGCTGTTCAGTATTAAACGAAATTACTGTAATTATTTTTTTGATAAAACAATATTAATATTTTTGATACTTAATTTTGTCTTTATATTTTTAATTTTACCAAATATTTTGTCTAAAGAGTTTTAAAAAAAAACAAATTCTATTTCCAATTTCTCAGCATATCTGTTCAAAAAAAATCGAAAGCAAAAAAAATATATTTACCTAATGAATATAGTTGAAACTTACATTAGCAGGTCTTACATAAGTGATGTGTTCATTATGGGTTACATTATTGGCAACCATAATGTAATATACCTATTTCAATATATCGCAATTTCAAAGCCCCTATGGACTTATGTTTTTATACATACTGTTACCTACCCTGACTGCTTTTTTAACGGCCAGGCCAAATTGCTGAGGTCTGAAATTTCATCAGGTCTACCCCCTTTATCCATGTATAATAACAGTAGCGACTCCCCATACAAACTTTCATCCCCATTATCACCCTCCTTAAGGGATGATTTCCCAAGTCCCTCCCAGGATCTCAAACTATCTTCTTACCAAATTTCATCTAAATCGGTCCAGTAGTTTTTGAGTTTCTTCGCTACAAACATACAAAAATACAAATCTTTCCTCTTTATAATGTTAGTGTAGATTGGTAATCAGTAACAAAAGTCTTTCTTATATCAAAATTAACTAGTTTTCACTGAATAACTTCTTTACAGTTTTTTCCAAAATTTCTCAGTTTTCAAAAATTGGCTTCCGCGTCATATGTCACAGAATTTTTCAAAAAAAAAATGAAATCATCAGTCTTTTCTAATTTTGTAATGTTCAAATCAACATCATACAATACTTTTTCTTTCCCGGAATAATGAAAAAGTACTTAAACCGGCGTTGGGGATAATTTTTTTCGAAATTTATATTTTACCACAATTAAAGCATAATGTATTCATTAAAAAAAACCACGATAGATACTTGCTATCTCTACTATTAAATATAAAAGTAAATTAAAAAATCACCTGAGAGTTTTATGTACGTCAATAACGCACAAAAAATATATTAATCGAATCGCAATATAAAAGATAAAAGATTTTTGTATATACGAGTACATAACCCACCATGCCACCACGCATAGTAAGGAGCGCAAGTTAAGATACAAATAATAATAATTCCTTACATTTTTTTATTCAATACTACAATAACTACAACAAGCTAATTTAATCTATAAAAACATCCCATAGATTATAAACGTCATGGGTAATAAAGATTGATGGCAATAAAAAGTACTTGTATTGCTAATTTTTTTAACATTTATAACAATGCTCGCTAATATAATTTCACACTCGGCTTCACTTTACCGCGGAAGTGCTTCCGGGAGATAATCTATCAGTAATATTTTATATCTTATGCGACCCTCTGGTGCAATAACTACGAGATTTTTTTTTAAATAAAACTATCTTTTTGGTTTTTTTCGCGGATTTTGAGAAAATGCCCCGTCTGTAACAAGTTAAAGTAAACCTTTGAGACGTCCAAAACCTTAGTCTCTCCCGTGACCATAATTGCTATAAGCATTCGGAACGTCGGGAATCAAAAATCTAAATAAATCCGCGAAAAAAATCGAAAAGATAGTTTTATTCAAAACGTCAAATATTCACTTAAATCTAGATCGAGATTGTCTTCTAGACCAGTAATTGTTGATACGTAGTAGTGTATTAAAAAGAGAATCAGCTAAAAAACAAAAAAACAGCCGAAAATGTCGTTATCAACACCAAAAAACTATATTTTTATAGCTAAGTTAAAAAAATACCAATTTCCTACAAGTAATAATTACTTTTTACTTAATAATTTAAAATCATAGATTTATTTCTTAGAATGTAAATGAAAACCCAAAGACTAGTACGAAGTAGCAGAAAGGTCTTGCTGTTCACGATGTAAACCTACACGCGTGGAGTACAGGGTGTACATTGATATCAATAACTGTCCACAGCCGGTACCTATTAGTTTCCACCATTTGTTGTGACACTAGACGGCCTTGTGGCTGATGTCATCGCGCTATGCTTCGTTGACCGACTGATCTGTGAATGCATTTTTTATCGACGCGTCTCTGAATTAATAGAGTATAACTATTTATTGTATAAAGGATGAAAATACACAATAATACAGCTGTTATGTAAATCATATGAATTTTACGACTACCGTACACTGGCAAAGTACGTATTGTATGTACGTGGTTGGAACCTATTCTTCTGCTAATTGGCCTTAGCTCAGACTACGTGAGATCACTCTATTATGTGTCCATTCAAATTCCATCTTCTATTTCCATCTGTCAGCTGTTATCTCTACATACACACATATTCTTTCTGACACAGGCTATCCTTTTCTTCCTCGGTCTACTTCTACTTCTGTAGGTATACTGATTTTATGACTTTCGATCCTGTATAAGATACGTCCTTACCATGGTCCCGCGTTTTTGTGTCGTTTTTGTCTTTGGTCCTATATTTTCATTTCCTCACATTGATTATTGTTTTTTTTTACTATCCATATTTGAAACGGTTATAGAGAAATAAATCGATGTGAATTGTCCATTAAATTACTTTATCTGATAATAACGCATGAAATTTGATTAGAATTTTTTTTATTGCAAAATGACTTAATTTGCTGCACACGTCATTCTGCCATAATTGAAACAAAGAAACGTAATACTCGAAAACACGTTGCAAAATATCTATGTCCATAACACAAACCAAGATCCATGCGGAAAATAATTATAGCAACTGAAAAAAATTAGTAAATATTTATGACCATCTAGTACTGTTCTTGCGTCAAGAACCGATTTTTTTTTCACAAAGCAAATATATTTCTTAATCATATACCTACTGCTTTTTTAAATATTGTTATTGAAGAAAATATATTTTTAACATATCAGTCACATTGAATAAATTGTATGTACCTCCGCAGGCGGTTAATTTTTTTGCAAGTTTTCTCACATTTGACCGACCTTGGTGCGCTTATTTTCGCCAATGCCATGTTTTTTTATATCCTAAACCATATATACTTGGACATTTCCATTTTACGTGTGTAATCAATATTCAGTAAAAAAAGAAAAACTCTTTATCATATTTATAAATGTCAAATGATAAAAATTTAAAATCCTTATTTATATATGATATATTTGTATTTTGTAGGTTTATTTCTTCTTTTCGAGCATTGGATTGAAATGATTTTTTGCATAGATTGTTATTGGGCTGATGGTGACATAAATTTTTCAATACAATCTTGACATTTTTGTAGGTGGAATAATTACTGAAATATGCTTAGTAACAAAGAAAGTGACAACAGACTATAAAATTAAGTTTAAGACAGACTAAAAAACTACCTGTCTGTTAACTTTTCATGCTTAACCCTTACGCTTAACCAGGCATAAACTAGTAAAGTACATTTAAATCCAACAAAAATATAAAAAAAAAAACTTGAAGGAAGAGACTTTTAAGCCAAATTCTCACATCTCAACTGTGATTACTAAAAAATCTAATACATTTTCTTACCATATTAAAATTGTGCACTCATGAGAAACCATCAAGCTTTTCATTAAGTTATCGAGGCCGTCTCTCTTACATAACATACTTTAATAAAATCATCGTTTGCAATGTCTTCATTGTATATTCATAACTACTAAATTACGTAAACAGCTTAACTCTTAACTCGCCAACTTTGCTCAACCACACCCTGTTTGCTAACTTGGATGCTACTTAGGACACCAATTTATTTATTACATCTTGCTAAAATCATTTACATTGAATTTATTTTACTATTATTATAGCGTCGCAAAGTAATTTTGATGAATATATTAAATTAAACTATATTTTCGGATTTTGTCGCAGCTATATTTTTTTATAGATTTCTCAGAGATAAGATATTTTCCCGCAGTAAAGAGACCCGTATATGTTGACCCGGGTAACCAGCTATCATCATACCAAATTTTATCAAAATCTGTCCTGTTATTTCCTCGATGCGTGGGAACACATCACGCTGTGTGAGAAGACAGACAAAAATTCGATCTCCTCTGTATCGATAATAATTACTATTTCAATAAGATTTTCCAAATGTACAGATTCGACTCAGAATTTTATTATACTCGTATGTCTCTATAGATTATATACAATACTAAGCATTTATATTTTATATTATTTCAATTACTGAAACAATAACAAAAACAGTCATAAAACAAAAGCATACAAGTATGTTCTACGCAAAATAGCTCAAACACTCGTTAGTGACACGAGGCATATCCCACTTTTCATTGCAGTTCAGCCCTAGTTAAACGGCGGTCCGTTATGAAAACTGCTGTCACAGCGATTTATCTCAATCTACATAACTGTCGAGTTATTATCACGTTAAATGCCTATTTTTAATTGCTTGTGAGTTGTGAGTACATGATGAAATGAAACTTAATTTGATATTTTGGGGTTTGGTTCGATTGACAGATACGACGTACATTTTTGTTT